TCCTAGTTGGTAACATTACGGTTTGCAGATCTCCCGATTCTTAAGTTTTAACCACCGTATCTCTTTATTATCCAAAATTTATGTTAAAGTGTTGATTAAATTGTATCGGGCTCGCATGCGAATTTCGGTTTTTGCTAATATGGTGTACGGGAGCTGAGTATTCTTGTAGGTAGGGCCTTAAAGTCGCCTAAAAGGCTATCTAGTAAACTTGAGAAGACTTGTACGCCTTTGCGAACATCTTAACCAAAAAATTGTACATTTTCGGGGTTTGTCTATCGTTCGCTTGAAATAGAAAAAGCAATAAAGCGCAATCGTGCGCCACACGCACAACTCAAGTCAAAGCTGTGTTATTCTTTAATATCCAAAAGTTTCTTAACACCTCTCGGCTGATGCACAGCTGATACTCAGCGCTAATAGCATATATATGCGCTTTTAATTTCATGCACTTGGGTTGCTGCTGTCACTTTCACACCTTTTTACTGTAACCCAGCACGCGCAGCTGCTAATTTAATTTAGACGTTTTGTGGAGTCAGCTGCGAACAAACTAAGCGCACGTGCACTCAGCGCGGATGCCGCTCGAAAGTTTGTGATAGAAATGCAGCAATGGCTACAGTTATTGCATATTATACCCTGAACAGGGTATATTAAGTTTACCACGAAGTTTGTAATACACCGAAAAAAACTTTGGAGACCCTATATATAATAATACTATACATGTACATATATAAATGATCAGCGTGACGAGCTGACTACATTTGTACACACGAACTAGTCTTTCAGCTTTTGAGATATCGTTGTGAAATTTTGCACACCCCTTTTTATTTTCAAGAAGCTGCTTATTTGTGGGAATCGCCGATATCGGACCACTATAGCATATAGCTGCCATACAAGTTGACTCATCAAAATTAAGTTCTTGTATGAAAAACTCTTTTGTTTGACAAGATATCTACACGAAATTTGTCGTGAATTTTTGTCCAAGCCAACGGTACAGTCTCCAAAAAAATTGTTCAGTTCGGATCACTATAGCATACAGCTGCAAACTGGTCGATCATTTTGAAGAATTTTGCTTCTTATATGGAATTTTTTTTATTTGTTAAAGGTCTTATTGCCTCGGTGCAACTGAGGTTAACGTTTTTTCTTATTTTAAACTCAAAACACATACTTACATATATACATATATGTGGTTATAAATTAATAATTGTGTGAGTTGGCGCGCGCTCGTGTGCTCGCCTGATCTTTCGCCGCCACACACACCTGCCTCACGCTAGTTGGCAAAAGTTTTCATGATTTATTTATGTGTAATTTACACTTGACTTGCTGCACGCATATACGCGTATGTGAGTCTACATACATATTTATAGGTACATATGCTCACTTGTTTGCTGGCATTCATGCCAAAGTACTACCAAATGCATCGCTATTCATACGCACTCGGCGTTCTATATTCATATGAGCATATCATTTCCAACTAAATAAATTTAGGAACACAACCAATAACAACAAAAACACATTCATATTCATAAACATATTCATATTCATATGCATTTCAAGTGTATTTACAGCGTATGCGCGCCTGTGTGTATGCTCAAGTGGCAATTACTGCCTGCATGCCATATAACATTTGTGTGTGTGTGTATGTGCGCTTGAGCAATTGTAATGGCATGCATGTATTTGTGATAATTAATTTTGCATTTGTTGACTCGATTTTGGATTTGCATGACTTTCGTTTATCGGTGCGGCATTGACTCTAATTACGTTTTACGCCAATATACAGACGTAGGCATATAAATGGGTGCACAAGCGCCCACATACCCACACACCCACATTTTGATTTAATGAAATCACTTTTACCTACGCACAACACTTTCATTAACCCTCGGCTACATCACTCAGCGTACACTAACACACCAAAGCACCGCTCTGCCGCCCCCACACCACTAGCTCTGCTTTCTAGCGCCTTTCCCCTACATTACATTATGTTTTCGTTATTCAATTATTGTGGCTTTAGTATCTTTTGTGTGCATCATTTCGGTTTTTTTCTGTACTGCGCCGACATTTATTGCTTTTGTTGTTGTTTTGTGTTCGTTTATTTTCAATTAGCAGTGAAATTTGCCTACAGCTTTTTGACATTTTGCATTTCGAAAATAATGCATGTACATATGTATATATGCATATAAATATGTCGGCCAAATAAACAATAACTGTCATAAATCAAATATGCAAATTTATGTGAAAATCCTAATTAATTAACAATTGGAAAATATTGAATTACTGGCTATTATCTGTGGCCAATAATATGCTTTGTGCAAATAATACGATTTCGAAAGCTGAATTAGAGAAAATTTATGCAGAAGAGCTAGTAAAAGAGATTGTAATAAAAGCAATTTGTCGTTGCTCTGAAATAAAGTGATTTGTTTATATGGAAGATTAGACATAACAATCAAGAAAAATTATAAAATTCAATGAGGAAACATTAACAATAAATATTCAGTTATTTCGATAACTATATAACGATATAATCGATAATTAACTATAAAAATTTGCTTTAGAGAAACATTCCTTTCTTGTAGTCACAAATAGTCCAGTAGCAGCACATAAGGGTTAAATAACGACAGCGCCACCTACAATTCAAAACTTACAGACAAAACAACGAATTTAAATTGCTCTGAATATTGGTTACAAAATCCGTGTAGATCCGCTGAAAAAATCAAATAAACGCGGCCACTCATATTCTTCAGACAAACATTTTCGAAATCTCTAAATTTTTCCGAATTAATCATTAGCAGCGCCACCTAACTATGAAAACTGACTATCCATTTAAATTTACATTCTACAATATACATAATAGCTTTTGAAAGCTATTAAGCTTGTCGAACTTTACTGATCAACTACAGTCACTGGCTAATAACTAGCTACTCTTCGACGTATAAGTTTTCTTTAGAATGTTGAAGCTGAAAGCTCTTTAAATTTCTCAATACAAACACGAATCACTGTTAGGTCGGCCCGATTTAGTTTTTAGTCTAATAAAGGTTTCTATCAATCAGATTTAGCTGTGTGGTAAACTATTGACTTGAGTTGACAAGTTTTCTGAAGTTTGATAAAAGCTAGTCGTTGGAAAATTTGAACTATTGGTCAAAAGCTCTAAAGATATCAGTTATGAACTTTTACGTGGATTTACTTTTCATATTTCTTCTTTAAGTGTGTTATTTCAGGAAAGGTTGATGTCTTAATTTGTATATGATAATAAAAATTTCTGTATCAAATTTTAAGTGTTGCCACTCAAACTGTTTAATATTCAAGTTACACACACCAGCATATCCGCAATTTAACTCGAAATTTATTCACTCGTGCACTTCAACGAAAACTGTTACCTTCCAGTGGCATCAAATTATCCGCTCGATTGTCATAAATCATAATATACATAGCGGCGCTGCATACGTGCTGCCACGCCAAGAAGTATGCTGCACAAATTTGCTGTCACATATATTCAAATTGTTTTCAATGAGCTACGGCATGCCTGCGGCAACAAATCATCGCTGTCTTACGGTAAACAAAGAAAAACGAATGAGCGTGAAACGAAAGCGGCGAAAGGAGGAAAGTTTACGTACTTACGTAAAGAAAAAAAAAAATTGTTTGACAATTTTTTACTGCTTGCTGACGGTTTTTCACATTGAGCGCCTAAAAGTGTGCCGCTCAAAATTGTTTTTTTCGCCTTTTGAAGCGACTCGGCTATGAAATACTGCCGCATTATTAATATTACAAATGTATGCATTTGCTTGTATGTATGTGGGTGCCTATCTTTCTTCTGGCTGCCTCATAAATCAGACAGCAAGGAAGTAAGTGAAAAATTTTCGGAAAAAGTGTAAAACGAAATTTGTGCGAAAGTAAAAGAACTGAAAGCTGAAACTTCCACTTTCCCATTAAAATAAATGGCGCACACACGCACAAACGCCTTAAGGTATGTAATGTGTGCTTAAAGTAAATAGCATTAAAGTAGCACGTGAAAAAGCGCAGCGTTTGTGCTGGAAAAGCAGCCGAGCAAACAGTTTGCCGGCGCATCATTGGCGCTTACATTGCCATAAATCAATGTGTCTACATACATAAGTGTAAACAATGACAAGTGTAATGAATAAGAAGCGCAAGAGCGCTTGCAAAGTAGGAGAAGTAATGGCTACAGGAAGTACAAAAGGTTTAAGGAGCGCAAATGAAAACTTTTTGCGTATCCGCTTCCGTAGCCGCTTACGACTGTCTTTTGCTATTTGGCGCTTTCTTAGCTGCTTACGCATTCTGTTTACTACTGTTACTGAAAAATTCATGCGCAATTTAATTAATTTAAGCGTACAAATTAAGCACTTGCCTTGCCTACTTTTAGGCGCGCAGCATGCCATACCTTCTGGCATAGCTAGCCACAGCACAAAACTGATTTTAATGAGCCATTTACAATATCGTTAAGCATTCTACATATTATATTCCCTTTTTACCGTTATTTATGCACTTTGTCTCACACATTCTCTTTGTATTGGCGCGCGATTTTCTTTATTTGCCATTGCTTTGTGGCTTTATCGGCCATACTTGCTTGCGGCTGACCCAGTTTTTGCAAACAGAGCGGCTAACGGTAGTCGTAAAGATACCGTTATGTGAAGGCGGCAAGCAGCAAGCGGCTTGGCTTTTGTAGTTAATGGAAACAGATATTTACGAAGGATTTGCGCTTAAATGCTCATCTGTCTACGAACGCTTGCGGAGTGTGTAAGAGAAAAGATTGTAAATGAAAAAGAAATAAGCTATGTTTTGATACACTGAATGGGAAAATAAATTACTGTCTGCTATCGTTGTACTTTAATATATTTTTTGCGGTTTATTTGTATGTATTTACAAGGATTCGTAGCTTAAGCGTGTGACCTTAAATACACTTTTAGAGTTTAAAACATATTTTACTACTTTTAGCAAAGCAAATCACAACTTAATCATTTTATTTTTGTTCTTTCTTCTCCGCTCCCCAGCTGGGCCGTCTCCACTGTCATGACGCGTGAGAACTTAGTGCCACGCTCACGTCCCGCGCGTAGTGGCGTTGATGATGCTAGTCAAGAGAGCGAAACAATCGCAGCGCTCATACCCTTCTGGGATATGGCCAATCATCGCCAGGGACATGTCACCTCCTTCTTTAATATCGAAACACAGGAGATGGAGAGCTCTGCTCAGTCTAGTTTTAAAGCTGGCGAACAAATCTTCATACATTACGGCAATCGTTCTAATGCTGATCTCATGATACATAACGGGTAAGTAGATATACTCAATACATATTAATTTTCGTAAAATCATTGACATCACACTAACACTCAAATGAAGGGCTCAAAGCTGTACAATGTTTTTACGAAATTAGCTTTCTATGTTTTCTTCCTTTTGAGGAAAGGCACAGAAATTTTAGTTTATATAAAGATACTGGCACTAAAGCGAGACGAAAGCGCCGAAAGTTTTGCCCTCATAAGCTTTCGAAACACAAAGCTCCGAAAGTTTAGAACTCCGAAGCTTTCGGAATTGCGAAAGTTTCAGCAAAAACAAACATGACCTCTGTTTAAAGACATTTTATTCCAAAAAGAAGTTAAAATTTCTAAATATTCGAGCTCAGAGCAAAATAGAAAAAATATTCTGCAACACTCTTTAAATTCATAGATTCACAAAAATTGCTCTGTACTTTCAAAAAGTATTAATAACACATTATATATTGTAGATCAATGGATCTTGTATTGAAGTGCTCTCCCTGCAAGTACAAATTTGCTGTTTGAATGGAAGCTTTATAAAATTTCGCCACCGGATTCGGTGAAGAGTGTTGTTTTCTGAAAAAATTCTGTTTAGAGCGACTACTATATATACTACATATACTTATAAATCTGTTGAGAATTACAGACGAATGAAACTTTTGTACAAACTCGCTCGTTTTAGCGCATTTCTGTTGCTAGTTTTGGTTCATGCGTTGAGCCATTTTCCCACTTTTATTCATCACTTACTTTATACCAGCAGCGCTTTTGGTTCGGTATCAGCCCATTATTAAAAATTACAACAAAAAAATTAACACACAAATTTTCTTTTATCTTTGACCCACACACTTTCTAATTTTCGACTCTTTCCATGCCACCGGCATAGCTTTATCAACCCGACCAATCCGAAGGACTATGTCTGCATCAAACTCGGCCTTGGCTCAACCGATCCACTGCTCGAAAAACGCGTCCAATTGTTGCTAATGATGCAGATATCAAAGAATACCGACTTGCAAGTACTGCCACCACCCAAATACATTTCATCCGAACTGCTGGCGTTCGTGCGCGTCTTCAACATGAACGCACAACAGCTGGAACACTGGATTAACTCAGAACGTGCCATGGATCTGTTACACATCGACTGCGCGCTCGAGACGACGCTCGAATCGAGGACTTGGCAATACTTGCAGACACGTCTCATGCTATTGCTGCGCGTCTTTCCCACCACGCTGGAGGTGGATGAAGAGCAGCTGGCCGCATACAAGAAGGGCGAACTGTATCTCTGCTATGTCGAGGCGATGGTGCTGGAGTATCGCGTGCTGGAGAAACGCGTCTTAGCGGCAGCGCTCGATTATGCCAAGCAGCGCGTAAAAACTTAAGTGACATGTGAAGTGTGCAACAAAGGCGGACGAGCTGGAGTGAGACAAATAAAATTCATGCAAATTTTTGTGGCCATTTAAACGTACATATAATGCTCAGCGAATTTGTATACCTTACAAATATTTATATTTTTAAATTTTGTTTTTTAATTGAAGTTTTAGTTTTAATTTAGTAATATTAAGTTATATATAATAATTTGTGTAAGTTTGCATTTCGTTGACTGATTAATTCACTTTTTTTTATAAGTTTTTTACGCTTAATTTTATTATTTCGTTTTTGAAATCTTTTTCTATTATTTAAAAATAAAAATTATATAGAATTTTGCTTTTAAAAGTGAAAATAAATTTTAAATTAATTTTTGCAAAAAATTTTTAATATTGAAAGCTAATATGCTATAGTTCTTAAAACTAATATGCTCATTTTCAATCAAATAATTTTGCTGAAGAAACTTATTATTTTGTTTTTGAAAAATATAGTTTTCAAATAATAAAGTAATATACAAGTATATTTTGAAAAATTAAAACTTTCTGTTAATAATATGTTAAATTTATAAAAAAGATATAAAAATTAAATTGTGTAAAAATTTTTTTATATTAACAAATTTATACTTTTTTTTTTGAAAATTAAAAAAATTATAAATTTTTTTCTGAAAGTTTTTTTTTTATATACATATATTAATTAATTTTTCGAAAACATTTTTTTATTCAAGAATTTGAAAATATAAATAATTTAATAAGAAATATTAGAAAAACAGAAAAAAAATTTATTTTCTTCAATAAAATTATTAACACCAAATATTATGAAATAAAGTAGCCACTTTTTTATTACAAAATAAATTTTGGTTAAATGTATTAAAATAGTATATGTTTGGTTCAAATTACACATTTTTAATAAAATGTTGATTTTTTTTTGTTTTTAATGGAAACTAATTTTATTTTTAATTTCAATTTAAAATATTTTGTCCAATAAATATTTTGATATCAGTTTAAATTTTCAATCAATTTAAATTTTTCATTAAAATGCTGAAGTTAAATTTTTGAGAAATAAATCATTATAACAGTAAATGCTTTTAATAACTTGCTTCAAGCCCTACTAACACAAATAGTGTCCCATTGAATGTATTATCTGTAAGATAGAACTAGTTAAATATCCTTCTATGCCAAAAAGTCAGAAAAACTATTTAAAAAAAAAAATCAAATATTTTAATAAAACGAAAATTTATTTATTTTTGCATTGTTTTGAAAATTTTTGTGTATTTTTTTGGTGTAGAATTGGTGCAATCAATATAAGTTAGTCTATAACCCCTGTTATCTCTCTCACTTAATCTCGCTCTTACTTCAGCTCTCTCGATCTCACTATTTCTTGCTTATTTTATTTCCCTCACTTTTTCCTTTCCACTCTCTCCTCCTTTGTATTCATACACTGAATCCCATTCTTTCATAAATCAAAATTGAGGAAACAGAATTTGAACGCACCTGAAAGAGTGGCTCGTATTTGGGAGGATTTATCGCATCAAAGAGCTTGCTTTCCATCTCTTCCCATATAGATCTTCAGTAAGAAATGACTACCTTCGACATTTCGACTATGTGTGAAAGGTCCTCTGATTAATCAAGTTGCATTTTTGCTAGTTAAAATAATATGAAATGCAGCTTAAAGCGTTATGGCACATATTTTGATTTGGGAGTTACCTAGAAAATACATGCTACGACAGCTTTTAAGCTCACTTTGGCAAATACGATCGGTTTGGACTTTAAAAGCTCTAGTTAGACTTTAAAAGAGTATAATGAAAGCTTTTAAGCTCAGCTTACAGTTAAAGCTTTAAGGCTTAGCTTACAATGAAAACCACCAAAGCTTCAAATTTATGAATTTCTCTTACAACAAATTTCGTTAAATTGTAAAGCTATCTGGGAAGCCATCTTTTACAGGCTTTAAACTTCGATAGCGCAAAAAGCTCCTTTAATTTTGATTATACATACTTCCTTTGCTTATTTTTGGACTGAAGTTTTTCACATTTTCAAATGTTGCATTTTGGTTTTATATGCCACAAAAGCTCTTTAAAAATACTAAAATTATATAAAAAGGCGAGAAAAATTGTTAAGTGGTTGCTCGGCCCAAAACTGTCATTATGCGGCATTTATGCAGTTATGTACTGAAATATATGTATGTATGTTTGTATTAAGTTGTTTTTGTAGTCAATAAAATGAAATGACTCGACTCAGATCGGTTTTGTTTGCGCTTTGAATATTTAAAGTTGTTTCTTTGTTCCATTTATTTATAACCTTCGTCTATATACGTATATGTAATGAATATATTTAGCTTAGTGCAATTTACATACAAGTATGTTCTATAAATTTGCAATATTGTTTGTGTTCCACCGACCTTCATATAACATATTAATGAGTTAATTAGTATTCATGTGTGTATGATTTTGAAAGCTTTATAAAAGTTTGACTTAGAATGACCGAAAAATAATAACCTATATACACTTTTAAAGTCTGGCAAGGTTTGTTTTTTACATGTTTAATTTAGTTATTGTTGTATTTAGGTGTTATTTGTGTGTCGCTGTGTGTGTATGTTTGGTGTTGTGCAACGGAACGACTGTTTAGGGCATTGTTTTGGCGGCATTTTGAGTGGAAATTTAAAGTTGACCGTTATGTTTTGTTAACGAAAGCTACTAAAGGGATTGCTTGTGCACAAAGTTTTGTGAGCGCAAATGGTTGAGTGTATTTGTTGTTATTTGCGGTCAGCAAAAAGTTTTTTTCGGTGGTTTTTAATTAAACAAAGTTAAGTAATTTATTAAAATTTAATGAAAATTTACTGCAGCGAGATTTAAAAATTTATTACGTGTAATGTAGTGTTCAGACATGCACTCCTCGCCTAAAAGCATGCAAGATTTCAGCACAAACTTTCTAACAACAGCGGTAACCTTGCAGGGCTTAGTAGCTGCTGCATAGTTTTAGGCGCTTAGAAGTTTGCGCGAAGTTTTGGCGTTAAAAAACTTTTTTTGTTAAAAATTTAAGTGCACAAGTTTAAGCAGCAGTATATGTATGACGCAAAAAAATATTTAAAACATAATGTTTTTTTATAACTGTACACTTTTTTCTATAAGAATTATTATTTTTTTTATTTTTTACGGATTTTTATTTGTAAATCAAAGCTGCCACAATTTTTCCGTGCAGCCTTGAACTGCCTGAAATTCCTTTGTAATTCTAACGCTTGATTAATGCAATGCATTTCTTTCATTTTTGCCAAACTCTCTTTCCCTGCACTATGCGCAAAGCTGCTGCTGCTTGGGGAAAAAAATTCAATGGCATCAGAAGCAGCGATAATTCAATGGGAATTGCGCTGCTGGACAGCCGTAAAGAACAAGCATTGCAGCATGATTTTGTGAACAGCAAAAGGCAGCAGGTCAACCAGCTGCAGATGGCATACATAAATGGGGATTTAAAGGCAGGAGGTAGGAGGGTGAACACAAACTGAATTGATGAGTGACACAAAGCGAATGAGGGCGCTCATCCAGCATAGCACAGGGTTTTAGCGCATGGCATAGCTCAAATGCCGAAAGCAATACCTTTAAAGCTGCCTTGGTGTGTGTGTGTGTGTGTGACAAACCGAAGTACAGTGGTGGTCATAGAAGTAGGCACACTTATTTGGCAATTAATGGCGCTCGTTGTTTTTTTTAGTTTGAATGCTTTGGAAGCAGATTTCGCTGACTTAAGCCATTATAAAAACTGCAGTGAAGATCTGTGGAAATACTAGCCTTACCATGCATTTAAGGCAAGTTAAGGCATGCTTAACCTCGCTATCAATTACATCAAGTCACGTTGTGATAAGAGTAGTATGGGTGGGTGCGAAGCCACAGCGGAATCCAAGTTAACTGCAAAGCTGTCGAGGTGACAAGAATAGGCGCCCAAGCCTCGCTATCAGTAGATTGGAAACGGCTCGGTGCTCTCTTCTCCTCGTGCCTGCTACTACTGCACAGCTGGACTTTACGGGAGCTTGCCCGGCGCTGTGGTACGGTTAGTTCTTGCGCTGTCGCCAGTTCCTTTTGGCTCAAGGTGGATCGCAGGAGTTCCATTGAACGCCTCGCTCTCAGTAAGTCTAGACATTCACTAGTTGTAGGGGTTTTAACGCCCCGGTAATGTGTATTTTACCGGATGCCATCTATATAACATAAGCATCTCAACACTTCTTTCTTGTCTGTCCCGCCTTTGTGAGTTCAAGGCTTAAACATTTAGGAGCTCACACTTTCCGACATCTCGCTGAGCTGGTAAGAATAGCAACGAAAGCAGCCTAAGCAGCTTTGTATTGTTCTCAAGCTCAATTGTCGATTTATAAGAGCTGAATACCGGTGTTCTATTCTTTTTAACTTCATAAAGGACTATATAGTAGTTCAAGGGCGAACTCCAACTTGGTGATCAGTAATTCAATATAACCTAACCTAGTCTCTATGTAGACTGCGTCGAAAATAGAATTTTCTCGAAACTTCGAAGCTTTGAAGCTTCGGCCCCCATAAGCTGGAGTCTTTCAAGACTGGGACCCACCGCTAAGCTTCATTCCCATTTTATTTCAGCCAGCTACTGTAAGACTGTTTACTCTGGGACCCACTGTACCCAATATTACAACGAAATAATGACGAACCGAGGAAATTTCAGTTTTGATTTTGTTATTGCACATAACCTCAATTATTTTTTTTTTGATTCTTCCATTCAATTGTAATAAAGCGGCAGCTTCTTTTTACACCTGTCAGCCCATTTCAATCCATCACTGTAAGTGACTTCGTACGCCATTTCTCGTTGTGTCCGCTTGTGTACGCTTATTAATTTTTAATGCCGCGCTGTGAGTGCCATCAAGGACAATGTGCTCCTATTTGCTGTCACGCGCATATAAATTCTACTGTGCGTGTGTGCCATATCATGCGACCACTTTTAGCATCAGCCATCAGCCTTCGCCATACGCCGTAAAAGCACACAACAAAAGGAACAACAAAACTATTTGGGCAATGATTGCCTGAGCTGTGGAGCCGTTGAGCTGAGCCGCTCGTCCACTTGCAGCCAGAATTTGATGTATGAGTTGTTGGCGCGTCAGCCGCTTTGTCATTTCTCAGCAACCTACCAGCACTCCTGCCACACACACTCACTTCGCTGTCTCTCCTCGCGCCCATGCTCAGTCACACCGTTTACTCTCGCTCCCCCCGCATTTCTTATTACCTTTCGGGCTTGCTACTTTGCGGTAATGACATTTGATAAACAAGCAGCAGGCGAACGGGAATTCGCCAATTTCAAGCAATAACCAAATGCAAAAATAACAACAAAACAACAAAGTTGCCGGCAAAGCAATAGCAGTTAAATTTGGAGTAAAGTTCAACGAATTGTCGAGAGAGTTTGTGCGCGTTCGGCGTTTGATTCACTTGTGTGGGTGTATGTGTGTGCGTTTATACATATCTGTGTTGATGTTATTATGTGCAGTTTTTGCTTCGTGCTGTGCAAGCTTAGCACATGCTTGTGCAAATCCTTGCTTTCGTTGCTCGTCGCAGTTGCCGGGTTAGTTGCCGGCATTGTCAGTGGGACGGTCAGCAATGTTGCCACTTTTTATGTTCCTGATGCGTGTGTGAGCATATTTATCGCTGTCGCTATTTAAATACTTGTCGGTTTTACAGCAGTGTTTTCACATTTTTTATTTTCCATTTTTTCCATTTTCAGATTGTTTTAATTTATTTTTAAATTTTTTTTAATATTTTTTTTTTTAAATAAATTTTTTTTTACACTTTATTTTATTATGTCGTTTTTGTTGTGTCATTCTGTTTTTCCCGCGCTGCCGCATTACCACTCACGTTTTTACTGCGGTTAACATTGGTCTGACCAGCTATAATTTTACGCCTGTCATCAACGTCGTGCGTAAATGTGTTTTTGCGCAAATATTTTATGCGACTTTTTGTTTGTTTAAAAGCCCATAAAAAATATCACTTTTTCTGCAAAAAAAAAATATATATATATATGCATAATAAATTTTTTTTTGACAGCAAAAGTTACCTTTTTTTATGGGCATTTATACCTGATGCTATTATATTTTTTTAGTATTATTTTTTTATTTATGTTATGAGAATTTTTAATTACTAAAATTGCGTGTGTTAAGCTAAGTGCTGCTTTTTATGTTTTTTCCGATTTTTTTGAAAACTTTTCCAATAGGTACTAAAAGTTTATGTTTCAGAAATTTTTTTACAAGAGCCGGAATTCTGATGCCTC